TTATATTGCTGTCCATAGGACAAATATTATCCCTTATATGTAACACATTCGCGAGACAAACAATCTCGTCTCTTTTTTTATTACTTTTGTTATCACCAGATGAGGTTTGCCCTGCATCTAATCCTTCTGCTTGATTGTCTTTATAGTCATCGTTGATGGAAAGTATAATAATCAATGGATAACAGCTTCGAGGTGATGTACCCAACATTTCTGGAGTGATTGGTTCATCAGCTGCTATCGTTCGGGCAATTGATTCACCTATTGGAGGATCTATCTCCTCTGGTTTAGATGATTGTAAACAGTGTTCATTTAAGAATGTCCCACTTCTAATCGATTCTCTGATTTCTTTCCAATCTTGCTTCAAGGCTTGATGAAATTTGGTTACATTAACTCCCCAGTAACTGGAAAGTCGGAATGGTTTATCACCAGTTATTTTGACTAAAACACCATTTTCCAATTGTCCTTCTCGCGGTTGTTGATCATCCAATGCAAGGGTAAATGGATTCCTCAAAACGGTCATATCTTGAGGGATTGAAGGTTTAGGGTCAAACATTCTAATTGAGGATTGATCCATTGGTATTCTGTTCACAAAAAGTCTGATAAAAACAAATCAAATTAGTCTTTCAGGTGTAAAATAATTCACGTCACTCTTAAAAACTATATGGATGGGGTAAATATCAGTATTTATCTGAGTGAATCCCTACTTTTAATGCTCTTACTCACTCAAAGGTAACTAAATAGTTACCTGGTAAGATACTAACCTTAAAATTATAGCAGTCGCGGTGAAAAATATACCAACAATCAATAGGAAAGAAGGAGATGTAGTTTGCAGATCAAACCACAATGGAGTCCATAAGGGAAACATTACACATGAGAATAGGCATGTATTAACGTAAATCCGAGCACAGTTTGTTTAATACCAAACTATCTAAATATACTTCATTCACATATCGGATAAGGTAACATTTTTATGTACTGTTATTTAAAATCAAATATTATTCTATACAACAGAAAATCCAACTTGCAATTGACAAGTAAACATAACAATTGCTAGGCAACAGGAAAATATACAAAGAACGAGGCGCCTATTAAGGCCATAAGTCTCTCTAAATAAAACACAGGTAAATTTTCATTCTTAAACCTTTAATAATATATTGGATGTAATGGTCAAAATAATTTAAATGAGAAAATTGATTCATTTCAAATTGTTTTTAGAGTCATCAGAAATGGATCGATTGGTGACATCAAGGAACGAAGAAGGATGGACAAAGTACATGTCAGCTATCACAGTATATAATCAATACAAGTTACATAAAGTTATTAGTGTTACCATACAAACAACGGAGCCAAAATTGATTGTTTCATCGATTTTTCAAGCAATTAGATAAATTGAAATGTCCAGCATTATTGTTATACAATACCTTTACTATTCACTTAACATGTTCATCTTTAAACACAGAGGCCAAGCCATCACCAAATTTAGACATCTTCCCATAGTCAAAGGATTCACCAGAATGATAACTAAGCTCTTCATCCCATCGTCTATCTGCAAATACAGAGTCAATGATATAGAGAATTAGGTTAACAATTAAAGTGATTAGCCAAAAATATTGGTTCGGTTAAAATGTAATTGTTAAATGTACCTGTCCAGGATGGTGGAGTTGCAGGTGTTGATATAGCCCAAGAATCTGGTGGAGATGGTTTAACAATTGGGATTTCAACTTCCTGAATTGAAATTATATGAGTCTTTTTAGGCATCGGAGCCTGAGTTGGCGGTGGTGGTGGTGGTGGCGGAGGTGCAGGTGGAGGCTGAGATGGAACCATTTTGGGCACTTCAATGGCTACATATCGAGTTTGAACTTGTGGACGACAAGTACATGTACCTATTTGAAGTTGATTATTATCAATTTGATTGTTGGAGGTTCAACACTGTAACTTACATTGACTGTCTCCTGTAGCTGGTGGTAATCCTTTGGATCCAAAGAAACCAAATTTTTTGAAACATTGACCATCCAAAGTGAACAGAAATATAATCAACAAACAAACTATACTGAAATCCATTGATAAAGATGTCTTCTTCACTTGAAAATCAAATTATCATGCAACTTAAATTGAAATTAAATTGAATTTTGTTTGAACATAACTTTAGCTAATCCAATCTTCTGTTGTTCATATTACTTGGTGAATGATTAAACTAATGAGAATCTCAAGAGATTAGCTTTAATTTTGGGTAAAACTTCCGTATTGAAGATCATTCATGTTGAAAGTAGTACTTCTTTTGATCAAATTAATGCTCTTAATCAATTATTATTAGCTCAAATGATTTCATTTTTTAATCTCTTCACTTTCATGGTTAATAAATAGTGTTTAGCTTTTATTGTCAACTATTTTCATTGTTAATGCTATTCAATGAGGTTACATTTGTTAAGTCATTGAATATCCATTTCACGGTTTGTTATGTTTTTTTAATACAACAGCCCATTAACACAAATCTAATTACACACACTGATTATCTGATGCGTTTAATTTTCAACTCCGATTAAAGCCAATACTAGAAGAAGGACAATAAGAATCAATGGTTAATCAGCTTGCGAGATCATTTTAAATCACACAACCTAACTTGAAATAAGGCATGACCAGTAAAGCTTTTGACGAAACCAATTTATACAATTTTAGTTTGATTGGATGTTAATTTTTCTTAATTGTGATGATAAACTCCTCGATTTAGCTTCGTGATGAGCCGGGGTCATTAATTTTTTAACTTCGATCCAAAATTTAGCCATTTTATAAAATCAACTTTGAAATTACAAATGGTAACACAAATTACAAAAAATTGAGATAAAACAATGTTTTTGTTATTCTGTACGATCAATTTGCATTGAAAAACAACTGATCTAGAATAAAAATGAAGACAGTTTGCTATGATTTCTGATAAGATGTGAAATTGGATTGACAATCTGAATCAGAATTATCATAGATAAGTTTGATTTCAGATTAAAAATTTTAATTCAAGACATAAATTCGGGTTTCTAGCTTTTTAAAGTTTCTTTTAGGGCGCCCTTATATTTAGAAAGCTTAATGCTGCTCTCTGGTGGAGATTGAAATGTAATTTTTCCATTTGTTTTGTAGAACTGAATCGTTTCAACTTTAAACTTTCAAGTGGTTTTTATTTGGACTGTCCAGGAAAATTCATCAAAGTTGGACTACATCTACAAATTTGAATCTTTCTGTGTGAAGATTTTAGGTTATTGAACAAAACTGTTTTATATCGCTTTTTATCACTTTGCTATCTCTCTGATTTATAAATCAAGTTTTTAGACTTCACTCTTTTTATTTGTTTTGGTGCCTTTGTGTCTTTCAATCTCGGTTTAGGATCTTTTTTCTTTCCATAATCATGAGTGATCTAGAGAATTCATTTGAAAAAATTGAAGATGTTGATCCAGACATCATTGCTGAAGAACAAAATGTTTCGCCTGCAATTGAACATGATATTGAATTAGAAAATGAGCTGAATCATGTTAACCAAGAAAACGGAGAAAACCTTGACGCTGGTTCTACTGATTTTACAGATAACTCAAACTCTGTTCCAGCTGATAATTTAACCAGTAACGGACTCACCAATGAAGTTAACGGTGATAAGGAGCCTATTAAAGAATCAGAAAAGATCCGAAAATGGAGAGAAGAGCAAGAAAAAAGGTTAAATGAAAAAGATGAAGAGGA